CATCCGTCCTGCTCACCTGTAGCAGTGGGAGGGGCAGCATTTGGTCTATCCAGGTAATTCAGGGTATATCACCATGGTAACTGATGCTGTAGGCCCAACCTGCTCCAGAGCAGAGATCAGCAGGGATGAACTCACCAGCACTAACCAATCAGATCGTTCGGAGCTCAGACGGCTGGAGCGTCTGAAGTGTTTTAGTTTAAAACACTAATCTGCTGTTTTCATATTTCTCCGTACTGGCGACTTTATTTCTGTAAATGTATTTATTGGTCTAGTGAAACTGCAGGACTGCGGTTTCACCACTTTGAGCCACGTAGTGTATATTTGTTCTTTGTTTTTATTCTTTCTTCAGTGCGATAAACCCGAGTAAGGCTGCAGGCCACAGGAGAAAACTGCTGCTGGCCTTAATGTTCATTTTAATCAAACACTCGATAATTGATAGAACCCACCCGTGCTCACCAGTTTACCTCCTTTACTTCCTGCTTCATATAAACTTTATTCACACAGCAGCTCGTTTACAGCACTCACACATGCTCTATCTCCCTTTGTAAGGTCAGGTGTGCAGTCACCATCAGCTAAAAACATGTAGAGAGTGACAGTCGTGACAGCTCGCCGATCACCCAAACGCACAAACCAAGCTAGCTGGTATCGCCTGGTAACTTAGCTCCACCCCGTTGACCAAATTTGGTCACTTTGGGCACAACAAAAACAAACAAAATGATCTAGAGTCTAGTGCAGGGGTGGGCAACCCTAGCCACGCGTGCCACAGCACATCAATAGCATTTGCATTTTCTGTTGTTCAGTTCATTTGCTGTTATGGATAAAAACTCTTTTTTTGTTTCAAAATAGCTGATAATTATTCGCTGATAGCTGCCAACATCTGCGAACAAATATGATTCTATAAAGTGGTTCTATATAGTGTTTAACTGTTCATATAGAGCGTTATTAAATTTAATGCTAATGCAATCATATGGCACATTGACTTCTGAGGAAATTTTAGATGCACTCATCATCAGAGAGGTTGCCGACCCCTGGTCTAGTGGGTGACGTTGGGGTGGCAGCCTCCATCTTTCATACTCTCTGTGTTGTATCACGAGATTGGATTGCGCCAAACAGATGTTCAAGTTCAAGAAATCCAGGCTTTCTTTGAGTTACTCCTCCAATCAGGGACCTCATCAGAGGCGAGGCACATCTGTAAAACTGTGACTGCAGATAATCGGCTGAGATTAGTGATCAGAGTTCAGTCCACTCTGACGTCATCGTCCAGGATTTGCCATGACAACGGGTAAATAAAGAGCACAGCCTCCGTTTTAATCTAGAGAAACACCGGCTTCATCTTCAGAACCGGAGACTCGTTTTTACCGTCTTACATGGATAATAACTGTATATGTGTAATATGACATCATATAATATACATTTTTATATGTTATGAATATTATAAATATTCATTCAGGCTGTTGAGG